CAACAGCAGGACCCAGAGCCTCCCTGAGGGCGGCCCAGTGGAGGAGTGCTTTTGCTGCAGTCATCGGGAGAGCTTGGGTGCGTGCTCCTGGGGCCGGGGCCAAGCAGACAAGTGACTGCAGTATCTTTATGACAGACTCAGCGGGATAGAGTTTATCACTTAGTTGCAGTTCGTTTTATTGGGCTTACATTTCTGGAGCTAAAGAGAAAAAATAAATTCTAGCAAATTATCGTTGTAAACTTTGAATTCAAAGAGGAAAAGGACGACTGTCATTTTGCCTTTTTTGCTCCTTTTACTTTTTTGAGTTTCTGAATGTTTTTGTGTAGGGTCGTGGTGTCTGGTGGTGGGAGAGGTCATGGGGCTAGGTGGGAAGGAAACCGAAGATAACAGTGGATTGACAGGTAACCAACTGGACAGAAAACAGAAGAAAGAAAAGCTTGGTAAGAGTCCCTTATCACCAGTATGCCTACTGCACTTAGCCACGCGCTCTTACGGCAGGGAAGCCCACAGGTCAGAGCGAAGGCCATGGTCCTTGGACAGGATTGAACTTACAGCAGTGAGGTCAATCAAGTAGCAGGACATTCAGGAGGAGGTTTTTGAAATGTCATTGTTACATTGAAAACATCTTGGCAGCAATACCCCGGACATGTCTGAGTATGGCATTCTGGATGTAATCTGTGAATGAGCAAGTGTATGGTGCATTTCTTTGAACTTTGACTTGCAAAAGGTAGATGAAGAGTCTGTTGAATGAAAAACCCTGGCCTTCTGTGACACAGCTCACCGCACATTAGAAGCAAGACCTACAAATCCACAGCTAGGGGCAGGAGTGGTCTGTCAAAGCCAATTTTCTGGTAGTACCTTGCCCCTTTATGGATCAGAATCCAGAACCAAGAGAAATCAGTGGTGCCTGGAACTAACTGCATTGAGGTCTCCAGGGGAATTCTGACCTCCCCTGTCCACGGCTTTGTAGTCGACACAGCTGCCAAACGCCCACGGGAAACCAGAGCGGATTGGCCCCCTCCCGCCTGGCCACAGTGCTTCGAGAGGGAGGTGCGCCGCTGCAGCGCCCTCTGCAGCGTCCTTTCACAGCACAGGGAGCAGCGGTCCCTGCCCTGAAGCTGACTCTTGCTTGCCTGCTCGGCTTTCCTGAGAGCTTGAGTGATGGACCTCAACAGCAGAAATAGGGCCAAGTTCCTGGGAAATCTGCCTTCCTGAAAGCTGGGGTGGAATGGCGTCAGGGTTGTGCCTCTAAAGCCATGTGAGCGTGAGAGAGAGAGTGTGAGGGCTCGAAGGCCTGCAGGGACCCCGAGTGCAGGGCCCCGGGGGGAAGTGCCCGTCTCTCGGTTACCGTGAGCCTCTGTGTGTGCTCTGGCTGCTGCTATAAATGTGGCATTCACTTTGATATAGCTTCAAATAAAAGACAGGTACTTTTGTTTTCAAGGCTATCAAATTAGGAAATTATAAACCATGTTAATGATCCAGTGAAAGAGACCTAGCTTTCCCCTAAAGCATAATTAGCACAGGTGACATTTTGCTGATGTTTAATGGTGAACAAGGCAAAGAAGGATTATCATTTTTTTTGCTTTACTGGAAGCCTTTTCATTGCTGTGCAGCAAAAAAACATTTTCTCATAGGTGTCTCAAAGTGATTTGTGGAAAAGGTGTTACAGTCTGGGAATAACATCAGAGCTGCGGGCTAAGGGGCTTAGGTGATGCCCAGAGTCTGTGGTGCTGCCCAGATACAGCGTGAAACCCTGGGTTGTAGCAAGCTGATTGGTGATTACAAGTGGAAATTGCTACACTTAGAATTCCCCGATTTACAAGTGTTCTGAACACTTTTTATTTCACAAAGATCTGATTCTCTCCCACTGATTGGCACTGTGATCTGGGTAGTATTGTTGGGTTTATCAGGTGCCCACTATTTGCAGAACTATATCCATGCTCTCTAGAGAGATTTGGAGCATCCGCAGAGAGAGCATGCACAAGGAAAATCATGTTTCTCCTAAATGTCTCAGTTAGACTCCTCTCAAAGCAGAACTTCTTATGAGGCTTCGAATGCAGGTAGGTTACTTGGGAAGCCATCCCAGGAAGCAGGAGTGAAGCAGTGGGAAGAGTGAGACAGAGAAGCAGAAAAGCCAGTACAACATTGGCCCTGACTGGTGTGGCTCAGTGGGTTGGGCATCATCCTACAAACTGAAAGGTTGCAGGTTCGGTTCCAGGTTGGGGCACATGCCTGGGTTTCGGACTAGGTCCCCATTTGGGATAGGTAACCAATCGATGTTACCCTCCCTTTCTTTCTCCTTCCTCTCTCTCCGAAAATAAATGAATAGAATCTTTTTTTAAAAAAAGCCAACACAAGATTGCATGTCCAAGGCCATGAGAGCCCAATGCCATCAGAACTTCTGAGAAGCATTCAGATTACCTCCCCGAATTGCCTTTTGTGAGGACAGGAGGCTGGGCCATTTGGCCACAAGCTCCTGCCCTCATGAGGGGGGCCCCAAGGGCGTGAACTCCACCACATATCCAGACGGAGCTGCTGACATGTAGGTAGGGTAAAGGAGGCCCTGTGGCCAGAAACGGAAAGCCTCCAGGTGTGTACTTCTGGGGGAATGTTGTCGACAGTGACTCGGGACTTGCTCAGAATTGCCTGGGGCAGGGGTCAACTGAAATTAGAGTCTTCTAGCATCTGCTGTGGAAAGGGTTCATGCTATACTAGGAAAAGAACTAGGGTGCAATGGAAACACCACCAGGAAGTAGCAAATCCAGAGCTCGAGGGAAGGGTCTGGAAGGCTTCCTGGAGGGAGTGGTTTCTAAGCTGAGACAGGATCAGATGAATGGCAGGGAGGCAGGCAGAGGTGAGGTGCAGATTCAGGGTTGCGTAGTTGGGGCATAGATTGTAAAGGTAGGTGTGGCAAGAGATGATCGGGAAGAATTTTGCAAGTTGAGGAGTTTATACTCATAAGAGCAATAGAAGCCCAGGAAGAGACATATAAGTAAGCATGATAAGGCTTGTGTTTTAGAAAATTCACTCTAATGACAGCATGTAGAATAAATGCCAGGAGGGAGCAGTTGGAGAGATGGGTGAGGAGGCTGCCAAATTACCCAGGTGAGAGAATTTCACAGTGAGAACCAGGGCAGTGGCGTTGAGGCAAGAAGTAAAAGACTTGACATACTGTTTCTAAGTCCCCATTCATGCTGTGCTCCTGGGAAAATATAGTGTGTGCCTGGCTGGTGCAGCTCGGTGGATTGAGTGCTGGCCTGCAAACCGAAAATACAGCGTGTGTGTGTGTGTGTGTGTGTGTGTGTGTGTGTGTGTGTGTGTTGATGGAGAGATTGTTGTAGGAAAGAATTTTTAGAAGATCTGAATTAAAAGCTCATAAAGAACTGTTTGGAAAATTCTTACTCAAATTGGGAAGTAAAATAGCTGTCAGAAAATACTTCAAGTGAGCCCTCACCTCAAAGGCGAGACAGCACAGTGCGCTGCACTGGGAGTCAGGAGGACCTTGCTTCCTTCTGGATCTGCTTTTTCTATTGGTTCGACCTTTGCTCTGTCAGTAACCTCGTCGGACTTTGTTTATTTGTCCACCTCGAGAAAACTATTGTCATTGAGCCTTCAGGATGAGGATGCCTGCTCGGCCTGTCCTGAGTTGATTGTAAGCTAACAGCATGTCGTGGGGCATGACCACAGCAGGGAAGCTAACAGACTCTCCGTCAAGACGAACACAGTGCGAGTGGGGAGGGAGCTATTGCAGCCCCAGGAGTCTTGCGTGCAGTGGGGACACCGGCCTGTCAGCTCACTCCAGGGCAGAGGTGGTGACCAACTCTGTGCTGCAGGGCGGTGGGGTTTCAGGATGGTTAGTGCCACCCTAAGTCATCTCGACACATCCTCCTCCAACTCTGAGACACAGGCCACAGTGAGACTAAAATAAGAGCATGTCCATGAAGGCACTTGGAGAATCAGCATTCCAGGCAAGTGAAAGGTGCTGATGTTATCAGTGGGCCTTGTGATGTTAGCTCGTAGAGATTTTTAAATGTTTTAACTCCTGCATATCCCAGGAAAGCAGAAAATAACTTCAGTTTCATGCATGCTGGTATATAATTTTGTCTTAGTTTCATAAAGAGACAGAAAGCCATATTCCTTCCCATGATACCCCCTTCTTACTAACTAGCTGCATTCTGTTATTCTTATTTTATCTCATACATTTAACATTGACTGGAACCATTTGACCTGCCAAGACTTGACCCTGGGCATATGGGGTTTCTCCCACAGACCACGAGAGCAACACCAACAAATAGAACGCAGGCTGTACATTCCCTGCTCTCAGGGTAGGGAATGTTCTCCACCTTCTGGGAAAAACCAGGGCCCTGACTCAGAGGAGCTGCAAGGATACTGATCTCAGAATGCCTTCAAGATACTGTGACTTCCTGATCATCAGTGTTGGGATCTGGTTCTCTTTCTCTTAAAAGAACTCCCTGGGGCTTTAGTGCACAAGTGACGACAGTGGTTCCATATGGCTGACATTTACTGCGTCTTTACTCTGTGCCAGGTGCTGCTTAAGCACTTTACAAATAAGACACTCTACAGCCCCTGAGTACATGGTTCACTTTGCGGACTAGGAAACCAAGGCTGATGTGGTTAAATAACTAGCCTAAAGTCAGAGCTGGAATATGAACCAAGGCATGTAATTCAAAGGCTGTGTCTAAATCACACTGTGCTTCTCCCTCTTTGCAAGCAGAGACCTGTCAGAGCATGCCGAGGTGCTTGGGATTTTCTGTCCCCAGGTCTTTAAAGCAGTCAGAGACGGTAAGCAGGAAAAAGACATTAGAATTCTGGTCTATGTCACATGTTCTCCACCCCAGACGGTAAGTACTCTAGGTATGAACACGTCCCATTAAGGTAAATAGCTTAAATCTAGGGAGCCCCGTGCCTATCAGAAAAAGCATTAATCAAGAGGTTATCATTTCCACATGCCACATGTTTCATGTTTTTGCTTTCCCTAGATTAAAAAGATCAAGTGGCATGAGCAGCCTTTTGGGAAAAATTGGAGCCAAGAAGCAGAAGATGAGCACCCTAGAGAAGTCCAAACTGGACTGGGAGAGCTTCAAGGAGGAAGAGGGCATTGGCGAAGAACTAGCCATCCACAATCGAGGGAAGGAAGGGTGAGAATGAATAGATCCTATTCCTCTGAAAAATCCTCAGAACTCTGAAACAGTTTATTGCAGACAGGCCACCCAGTTTAAATGACAAATGTGAGTACTTCGGTGTGTCAGTAAAGCTCTGTTCTAATGTGGGGCTGGTCCTGGCAGTGAGAAACATGCTAGGGGGACAGGAAGGGAGGGGCGTGTGAGCAACACTTCCCTCGGGGACAGTCACGTCTGCCGAGCCGAATTTGCTGAATTACAGCGCCTGTGAACTGTAAGTCACCTTGTTTATTCACGTGGTCAGAGGTGGCTCACTGTATCAGTCTTGGCCTGACCTGGATTGTTTGGCCTTCCGAGAAGCCAGACTAGCCCAGTGCTTCAAAAGCAGCCAACAGAGTGCTCAGATGTCTCCTTACTGTGGGATTTACTTTTACCCATGTCATTGACCCAGGGTGGGGCGTCACCCTTGGCCATCACTTGCACCCCCTTCCTCTTCACTTTGGAATACAAAGAGGATGTCCATAAACTGTGTATCTGTGAATACCAGGAGAGAAACAGTGTTCAGTGAGTGCCTGGGAACCTTAGAAGGACCTTAGAAACAAAGTTACTACAGAAGTGGGTCCATGGTTCAGGGTCAACCCTTTCCATCCCTAATCGTGAAAGGAAATGTCGTGTGATGCATCAGAGAGCCCTGGGTGCTGCCCATCACCCTCCCCTCAGCAGCAGGGCTCTCCCTGCCGCACACGGGACATCTCTGAGGCTCAGCTGCTTCACCAGTGAAACTGGGGTGATGATACCACCCTCAGTGGTTGTAAGGATCTCATGAAATCATACTTACAATAAAAACAGGTGAGGGATTTATTTGGATGGTCATATATCTTATTTTATTTTTTAATTGATTTTTTAGAGAGGGGGGAAGAGAAAGAAAAAAACACTGATTTGTTGTTTCACTTATTTATGCATTCATTGGTTGATTCTTGTATGTGCCCTGCCTGGGGATTGAACCTATGTCCTTGGTGTATCAGGATGACACTCTAACCAACTGAGCTACCTGGCTAGGACTTGGGGTATCATATATTTTAAATTAGGCTTCAAGATTATTTGAGTGAACTTGTAAGCTGATCAGTATGTGTAAAATATTTTTTACTGACTTTATGAGCTTCTTTACCTACCAGACTTCTAAGTCAGTCTGTCAAACATAGAATGCCACAGGACAGAGGCGGAAGTGCCCGAGCCCTCGGGGGAGGCCCGGGGCAGGGTGCAGGCAGGAGGCAGTGTTATCTGCAGCAGGCCTCGGACATCTGCCCTGAACTCCCCACTCTGACTCAGCTCCAGGAACTCACAGCTGCCTCCTCTTCTCCACAGTTGCCTAGTGACCCAGGGCAGCAGGGGAGCTGCCAGTGTGAACTACACTCTTATTTCTCTGAGTATTGATTATATGGGTTGGACAATATGTTCATTCTGCTTGAGTTCATATATATCTTATAAAAAATAAGAAGTGGTGCTGTTAAAGATAAGGGAGAGTTCATAAAACATAGACTGAAAGAGAAAACAAGACTAAAGACATCTGTACCCTGTCCGGGTAGCTCAGTTGGTTGGTGTTGTCCCGATACGCCACAGTTTCGGGTTCGATCCCTGGTCAGGGCACGTACAAGAATCAACCAATGAATGCATGAATAAATGGAACAAGAAATCAGTGTATCTGTCTTTGTCTTTCTCTTTCTTTCTCTTTCCCTCCTTCTTGCCCTCTCTCCCTTTCTCTAAATCAATTTTTAGAATAGTTAAAAAGATGTCTGCCCCATGAGGAAGACTTTTCAGGCAGTGGAAATCAAGTAACTGGGTTAGGGAACAGCCAGTTCTGTGCGGCTTGAAGGTGCTCTGCTCGTCCCTCCTTTTCCGAGACTCTTCTCCTGGCCAGATGATTTCCTCGGGTCTGATCGCGTGTTTCTGAGGCAGATCTATGACTTTCTTGCTTTGCCTTTGGCTGTTTTCACCTGCCCTGCCCAGCGTCCACTGCCACACCACTCACCTGCCTCTCCTAGCTGCTGCAGGCAGATCAAAGGGCCCAGCCCCTTGTCCAGGGACCAGAGCTGTGGTTCTCATGTCGGCCAAGCACGAGAATCCTCTGGGGATTTTTCCAAAGTTCAGGGAATAAGGTCACCTCTATACAGAGCTGCTAAATCAGTAGTCATAGTTATCTGTATTTTTAAAATCGCTCCATAGGTGCTTCTGATGCACAACCTGAGCTTAGAATCACTAGGCCACAGCATCAAAATTCTAGAGATGAAGAACTAACGGAGCGGAAGTGCTCTTTCCTGAACAGCGGAGGGAGAGAGGTCACATTTGGTAACATCTCAAAAAAAAGCTACCTGTGAGTAGTGATTGGCCTCTGCCCTATTTATTATGAGACTGTGACCTTTGTACAAGCACCACATTTAAATCGATCTCATGTACAAGAATTCAGGCCATGACCGGTGATAAAAATATTCCTGTTATGCAATTCTGACTAACAGAAGATTGGATTGAGTTTAAAAGATTATCGTGCTGTTTGTGTGTTGATGGTAATTCCAGTTTAGTAAATGCTAGCATGTCTTTCCCCTTGTAAAGATTTGATGGAATTTGAAGCTAGATTGGTTATTATTTCCAATTTTTTAAAGGGCAATTTTGCCATCTGAAAATACTCACACCAAGGGACAAGGCACCTCGAGAAAGAGCAGGCGCAGGATCAGATCTGAAAAGAATTTTCAGGCAACAGAAACATCAGATAGAGATGTTCACTTTAACAAGTGGCCCAGCAGATTTGAAAAAGACACAAACAGAATTTCTAGAAATGAAAAATATAATGACCATAATTGAAAACTAAATGGATAGATTTAATAATAGTTGGGCCAGCTGAAAAGAGAATCCATGAACTGGAAAACAGTCAGGAGAAATTATCCAAAATGTAGTTCAGAGAGACGGAAGGACAAAGAATACGGAAGGGAAGTTAAGCAACTTGGAGGACAGAGTGGGAAAAGACGAAAGACGCCTCTTTATAGATTTCTTTAAAACCCAAAGAGTCCCAGGATAAATAAAGTAGAAATCCAAACTTAGAGCAGAGTGAAACTGCAGAAAACCAAAGACAGAGAAAAACCTTAAAAGCAGCCAGAAAAAAGGAGACTTCTTTGAAAGGAGAGGCGTCAGACTGACAGATGGCTTCTCATCGGCCGCAGTACAAGCCAGAGACACTGGAGTGATGTGTTCGGAGAGCAAAAATAAACAACTACCACCTAGACTTACACATGTAGGTAAAGATTAGAGTGAAGGAAAACATGGATATTTTCAGAATGGTGAAACTGAGAGATTGCCCCAGCAGACAAAGAAGCATATATTTGCTGAATTTAAATGAGCACTAATTATATAAAACTATAATGTTAATGTCTTGTACATTGTTAAGGTATTTTCTTAAAGCAAGATAGTATTAAAACACCTGGCTACAAATACATAAAAGCTGGAAGGGGGTAAGCGGAGGTTAGTTTTCCAGAGATCTTGTATCATCCAGGAGGAGGGTAAAAGTGGTGATTAAGTGTGCATATTGAAATGTCTAGAATAGAAATAATGTATAAATTCCAAAATAATGGAGGGAGAATAATGAAATGATTTGTGAAAGTAGACACAAAAAGAGAATTCAAGAAACCAAACAGGCAGGACAAGTAATATGCACAAAATAACATGGTAGTTTTTCAACTAAATTTATCAGACTTTTCATTAACTGTCAATAAATTAAATGCTCCAGTTAAAAGACAGATTGACACATTGAATTAAAAAACAGAAAACAACTAGTTTTCTGTTGACCAAATGTCAACGTTGGCCAAATGTTGACCAAAAAAAATGTTGACCAAAAAAAAAGGGGAGAAAAGATAAACGAATCAGACACTAACTAAAAGAAAGCTGATGAAGCCATATTAATATTAGACTTTAGCAGAAAATAGACTTTAGATAAAATAGACTTTTAGATAAAATAGACTTTAAGGCAGAAAAAAACACCAGAAATAAAGAGAGTAGTCACCACATAATAAAAATCTTTAATTTATCTGGGAGATATAACAATTTAAGTTCAAATATACCATTTGGCATTATCAGTACAGTTATTCCCTATGATTTAGCAATTTCACTCCTAGCCGTGTTCCCCACAGAAACTCAGTTATATATTCCCCAAAAGACACATGTGAAAATGTAAGTAACAGTACTTTTCACAACACCCCCAAACTGGAAACAGCTCAAATGTCTGTGAGTTGTATGACAAAGTGTGATATGTTCACACACAAGGATACTCTTCAGCAACGAAAATGAACATGAACAAATTTTAATAACATAACACAAAGAGTATATGATTTCATTTCTATGAAGGACAAAAACCAGTGTGTCCATTACAGTCTGTGAAAGAAGCGAGTCAGAAAAGAATATACACAGTATAGGTCTGTTTATGTCAAGTTCAGAATGAGCACCACTAGACCGTAATGTCGAGGGGACAGAAACTTGAAAGGAGAGCGAGGAAGTGTGGGCGGGGCGCACCCGGCGGGGCTGGGAGTTGGGGTGGGACTCCGCAGGGGCCCCCTCGGGGCTGGCAGCATCCTGGTGTGTTCCTGCCCGCCCTTCAGGAACGCTTGCCACAGCGGTGGCAAACACAGTGTGGGGGCGTCTCCTCCCACTCTCCCTGGCTGACCTCCTTCCCTTCCCTGAGTTCTTAGACTTGGGAAGTCCCAGGGCTGAGCCCTTGTCACTCTCTCTCCCCTGACGGAGCGCACTCGGTCCCTGGAGCAGGCACCGTTTCCCTGCCTTTCCCTGTCGGTGACTCCCAGACCCCCACTCCACCTGTTGAGTTGACATCTCCACGTCCGTCCGAAACACACATCGAGGTTAACATCCAAAACCGCATACTGCTTTCTTCCCCCTCTGACTTCTCCAAAGAATGGCACCATCACCTTCCACACAACTGTTAAAGAAAAACCTAGGAGTCATCCTGGATTTCCTCTCTGTCCACTCGTATCCTGACAGTCCAACAGACAGTCGTGTCCTGAACCATTGCGGCCCCTCCCTGTTTGTCCAGCCCCACTGCCAGCGCTCCAGCACGGGCTTCAGACGTGCGCTGTCTCCCGGCCTCCACGTCTGCCCCCTCTCCCTCAGTCTCCTCCACAGAGCAGCCAAGTGATTATTTTAAAAAATACAAACAAACCACTTTTCCCGCTCTTCCCTCCTGAAATCAGTGTTCAGCTCCTTACCCTGCTTTCCAGGCCCTCCTGAGCTGTCCCCTGTGCACCCCCGCTCCTCCAGACCCCTCCGCGGTGGGCTCCACTCAGATGCCACTCTCCAGCGCGGTCCCACCCACCCCAGGGACCCTCAGTCCCTTCACACTTAGTGGTTTCCTGAATAGCAAGTACCCCAGGGTGAGGTCTGGTTCACCACTCTGTCCCCAGCGCCCACAAAAGCCCTGCCCAGAGCAGGTGCTGAGCTGCTGCGCTGTCTCTGCGCTCGTCCCTCTGGCTCGCAGACAGCCACGGCTTGGGTTTTGGAGACCCGTGGGACTAGAGTTGGCCACTCAGAAAAGAAGGGCAGGGTATGTCCCGATGATGTCTCCAAGCAGGCCTCATTTTTGGTTAGCAAAACTGGTTAAAATGCCTCCACCAAAGATGCCTTTCCCCTGAGACCAGGCTCCCAGGGCTGGGTCCAGCATGTCAGGACTGCTGTTAGCAGTCCACACTCAAAGCATCTAGCATTGCTTCCCTCTCACCTGTGGGCGACCCCACAGGTTCCCCCGCAGCACGGGCCCTCAGTAGCCCAGCCCTCCCGCACTGCGGAGGCGGAGGCCCGCCAGGCCCGCGTGGGGAAGGGAGGGATGCATAGAGAGGGACAGGTGTACAGGCGTGGTTGGGGCTGCCGCCTGGCAATCAAATTGAAGGTCGTGGAGCTCGATGACCGGGTGTGTTTGTGATTTGGAGAGGCCCAAAGGAGAGACCGGAGAAAATAATTTTCTTTGTCCAAAGCATCTGTCTCCATGACCCCCAAGAGCCACTCTTTCAGGACCAGCCCAGCATGGAAGTGAGGTGGGAGGAGAACAGTGGAGAAGAAACTTAATTAAAATTGCCACCCTTTTACTCTGGCCCTCAAGATGTTTGCAGGTCCCAGCTGTCTTGTAGGGGAGGACATAGGCCTGTGCAGTTTCGGGCAAATTGCTTCTTTTAGTTGCATTTCTCAGAAAAATAAAAAAGTGCCTATCTTATGACTTGTACCCCAGAGCTTTACTCTGGCCTGGGGGCGCCCCTGCTGCCCGTGGTTTCCTGGTGCTGGCACTGACGTCGCTCCCCTTCCTGCCGCGCTCGTAGCCGACTGACAACACAGCCCTGGCGCATCCCCAGTCCTGTCCCTGCTTCAGGTGTCCCTGCCCCAGCTGTGCTCCTTCCCCTCCTGACCAGTGGGCAGGAGGCCTCGTGCGGGCAGGTGACGGAGTTTTGGGAGGTGTGGCCACCCTTTCGTCTGTGGTGTGGGCTTCCAGAAGCAGGTGCTGACATGTGTCCCGGAAGCATTTTCTACCCTTCTCGTGCCCTCTTCTCCCTTTTCTCCTTCCCTCCTCATTGGCCTGGATCTCAAGAAAATTGGTGGCAGGGAAGTAATTTGGGTTGAAAGATCAAAAAGATGTCAGTGCCTGTTGGGTGTAACCTGGTTCTGAAAGGAAAAGCTAGAAAATCCCTTAGGTTTTGATGCTATTAGCATATTTTATTAATGAAAGTGAATTGCTGCTGCCTCTGAAATGGGCCACAGAATGCAGCAGTAGTGGGGGGTGGGTGACACCCCCACCCCGGGCTCCCAGTGGAGTGGGTCCAATCGGCCTCGGTCCCCAGGAGTGCTGGGTACAGGCCAGAGAGGCACCATTACTCTTGTCAGCTGGCGGTTCTGTTCTGGGGCTGTGACCTGCTTAAGCTGCCTGGAAACTTCCTGAGGCTTGGTTTAATCAGGCCTTCACTCAGGCCACCTTGGAGGAGGGGCTTTCCCCACGAGCCCCTCCTCTTTGTGGAGCATTCGATCCCTTGGGCCCTGCCCAGCCGCCCCGGCTGAGGCTTTATAGTGATCAGTGCCGTCAGAAATGGGAAGCAAGAACCCCTCCGTGCTCACAGCTATTTGGGGTTTTATTGTTTACAAAGAAGTTGTCACGGTTTCATTATATCGTCAGAGGGATACTGTAATTTTTGTTCTGTTTATAGAGAAGAAAAATAAGGCACAGAAAATTAAGCATCTTGTCCAAAGTCACACAAATAGTAAATGTCGAAGCCGTCCTCATCCTTGGCATCTTTTCTCTCTCTCCGTGGGGGGGGGAGCCCACGTCCAATAGACATGCTGTTCCCGGTCAGCTCTTGGCAGTAAACCAGAGCCATCGCAAGGGTCCCATTAGCAGCTGCAGATGGCTGTGAGTGGGGAAATGAAGTCACCAAGCCTGTCTCGATGGCCTTTGTCTGGAGTGCCCTTGAGAATTCAGTTGCGTTCTGCACATGGGCCCCCCTTTGCTGCCTGAGGCCGTCCCCAAACCTGAACTCTGGCTGCATCTGCCTCTTTAGCACCCAGCCCGGCTTCGCTCTTGATGGTTGCAAGGTCCGCACAGCCATCGGGGACCTTCAGGGCCTTTGTTCACGCTCGGTGTGCATCCTAACTGAAGTGTCACTCTCTCTTCTTTAAAGGAAACCCAAAACAAGACCACCCATGCTCAAACTTTATATTTTTTTTGCTTACTATGACCCACTCTCAGACAGGTAGCCCTGGGTAATGGCTCTCTTGAAACATGCCCTAAGATTCTCTAGAGCCGCGGGTCACCCTTATTTTCTGTTGGAACTTCGAGGGGCAGTTAGCACACTAAATGCTGGTCCCCATCGTGGTCTTCACCCAGGGCCCGTGGGCTGGGGGGAGAAGCCATGGTGGCCGTGGTGTGACAAAGCCTGTCAGTCCCTGCTAGAGAGTCCTGGGTCCCTTCGTGACAGATGGAAGGGGACTTACTCCATCATGTGTCTACCTCCCTGTCAGTCTGCCCTGTTTCTCTCCATCAGAAAGGGGTCCAGCCCTGGCTGGTTGGCTCAGTTGGAGCGTCCGCACACCTAAGGATCACAAGGTCAAGTTCCAATCAGGGCACATACCTGGGTTGTGGGTTCAGACCCCGGTCAGGACGCGTGCAGGAGACAACTGTTCGGTGTTTCTCACTTCAGTGTTTCTCTCCCCAGCCCTTCCTCTTTCTCTAAAATCAGTAACAGATCCTCGAGTGAAGATCTTTGAAAGGGGGGTGGGGTGCAGTATCTATGGCTTCCCTGTCCACCAGAGAATCTGAAACTCAAATGTACCGGACATCCTGTATGTCACTTGCGACACCTGACAGCCTGACCCTGAGGGCCTGTGTCAAACCTAGGGGCAGACCCTGCCTTGTGTGTTTAGCCACTCTGGCCTCCGGTTGGCAGTTCTAACCCAGCCCCTAGTCCCTCAGCCCAGACCCTGTGGTGGCTACTTATCACTGATAAAACTCCTCTGGAGAGCTGACTGCTTTCTTGGATCGATCGTCCTCACAACCCTGGCAGAAGCCAGGTTCCCCAAATAATGGTGGCAGCATTCATTGCTGTTTTATTGAGCACTTACTCTGTGCTAGCTAAGTTAGCAAGGTTATGTGGCTTACTCAGAGTCAAACAGCCAGCAAGTGGCCGAGTCAGGATTCAGATTTAGAGCCTCCACGCCATAAGACAGAGGGCAGTTTGTCTGGAAAGCAACAGGACAAACTGCACTTCACAGGGTGCTGGGAGAGGGGGAGCGAGGCCCTGAACTCAGCAAAGGAACGCGGTCCTAAACCTGGTCAGGTTCTCACCATAAACGTAATGACCTTGTAATGACAGACAATGCACTTTTTCCACAGTGCAACAAAAGAAAAGTTGGTGCGGAGATTCAATTAATATGTCCCACTTTCAATGGCAGTTTCACTTTTAGCAGATTAATTAGCAGCAGAGATCCCCTCCCTTGGGCAAATCACCACATACTTTATGGAGAGAAGGAGCATTAGGAACATGCAGCTGGGTCTGCCAGCCTGCCTCAGCCCTGGGCTTCCTTCCCATCCCGCCTGGGAGCACCCAGGGAAGCCTTCCTTGCACGCTGAACCTGGCCTCAGAGCAGGAGCGGAACACCGCCCTTGTAAGGGGCCCCTGTATGTGGACTGTGGGCAGCAGAGGCTCTTGATCCCGTTCCTTTAGAGGAAGTCAGGGAAAGTCCTCTTCTGTCATCCTCCAAGCAGCCTGGCCCCAGCTGGGCAGAGGTGCGTGGAGAGGAGGGAGGGTGAGGAGGAGGAGGAGAGCGCAGGAGGCAGTTAAATCCTCTCCGAGGTGAGCACGTCACGCACCTCTTCACTGCCCCCTCACTGCAGCCCTGTGAGGTCGTCTTCACCGCCCCGTTTCTTCCACGTTCGGACAACCTTTTTGACATTTCGGAGTATGTATACAGGGCGCATGGCTTCCTCTCTCACCAGCTCAGCACACCACTAAGGCCAGGACGTGTGGCAGTATTGTCTCACTCTTGAGGAAAGTGAGTCTCAGACACATTCGGTCCTTGACCAGTGTGCAGGCGAGTGGGCTCTGAACCTGTGCTCGGCCCAGCCCTCAATTGTCACTCCCTAAAGCCCTGTGACAAAATTGTAACACTTCCTGCCACTAAGCCCTCATGTATTGTCCATTTGATAAGTTGTTGTGTTCTTTTTTCATTTTATTTTCATTCACATCTGAACCAGAAACATCCTTGTTTAGAATGTGAGGGCCATGTTAGGAGAGTCGTGGGTGGTCATTCTGGGCTCCAGCTGTGGTCATCTCTTCACGTGTGCTGTGACCCGGTGGTCCCGCTGCCCAGGTGGGCCTGTTCACACCTGGGGGGTCGGGCCGCGCAGCAGGGACACGTGCTCTCACTGGACTCTGCTGACGGCCGTCTTTCATTTCCTTCCAGGTACATTGAACGGAAAGCGTTTCTAGACCGAGTGGATCACAGGCAGTTTGAAATTGAGCGAGATCTCAGGCTGAGCAAAATGAAACCCTGACGTTGTGGGGCGTCGGTCGCAGCTTATCCCTGTCTACAATGTGAGCTTCTGTGCGTCTGTGAGGTGTCTCCACTGCTGCTCCTCCGCTGTCGCCAGCAAGGCCTTTTTTCTACATTGAATTCTGTCTTTGTATCTTCGTCTCACGTAGTTTCATTCACTTGACTGTTAAAAGTTTGTCCTTAAAAAATAAAAATAAAAAAATAAAAGTTGGCCTTGACCAGTGTGGCTCCGTGGGTTGAGCGTCGTTCTGCACAGTGAGGGGTCACCTGTTTGATTTCCGGTCAGGGCGCGTGCCTGGGTGGCGTGTTCAGTCCCTGGTTGGGGCATATTCGAGAGACAGCCAGTCAATGTTTCTCTCCCTGTCTTTCTATCTCTTCCCCTCTCTCTAAAAATAAATAATTTTTAAAAAAAAACAGTTTAAAAATAGAAGTTGGCCCTAGAAGAGGCTGCTGGAGATAATACCGCTTGCCTTCCCTTCATTCTGCTGCGAAGCCCACCAGGCCCCGCCAGTACCCTCCAGGCCTGTGCAGGCTGGCCACGGGGCGGCTGTGGGTTCCGGGCCAGGGGCTCTTTCTGAGGTCAGCCTAGTGTTAGTGGAACACCAGGACCCTGGGCAATCTTGTTCTTGGTTCCATCCCTGCCTTTCTCCCGATCCCTTGCCCTCCTGCGTGGGATTCCCGTTAGTGGCACAAAGTAAGACTGAAGGTAAGGAATTTTTTTTACCTTCACTCTTTTTTCCTCTTCCCAAAGTTCAAGTTGACTTCAGATGTGCTCCTACCTCAATAATTCTGTATTTTGGGCTCATCAAAGAAGACTCTGAAAGACTATTTCTTTTTTGTACTCTATAGGAAAGTTTAAATCCCAAACTTTATCTTAATAAGGCAGCAAACCCCACAGCCTGGTCCTGGGGGGTGGGAGGTGTCCGAGGGGAAGGGAAGGTTCCAAAGCCTGGGATCCAGTTTCTGCCTGGACAACTACCGGCTCTGTGACCTTGACCACAGCCTAGCTTTCTGAGCTTCTGTTTTCCGGTCTGTCAGTGGCATGAGTAACACCAGTACCTCACAGGGCTGCAGTGGCTCACGACACCCCTGAGGGGTGTAAGCACTTATCTCCCCATCCGGTGTGTGGCCAGAAGCTCTAGGCAACCAAGACCTGATTGTCAACCCTACATGGTTAGGGATCTCAACTTCTCAGAAAAGTATTTTACAGGCTGCATGTGAACAGAATACATTGTTCATACCCACTTTAATGAAGTAGTGATAGAGCGTCTCCAGGCCAGCATCAGGGCAGGTGACCTGTGAGGCTTCAGGTATGGTCCCGCACAGCGACGCAGAAACAGCAGGAAAGTCCTTGAACCTAAGAACAGCCAGCATTTTGATAAGGGAAGAACATCCAGACCCGCAGGCGCCACCAGCCAAGGCTGAGACGCAAGTCCTGCCTCGTGGTATCCTCTGTGCGTCATCTGCTGGTCACCGCCCTGTGCGTGACCGTTGCCCAGACTTCTTCCCGGACTTCTGGGCGCCTCCGGCATTCGTTCCCCTTCGCACGGCTCTTCCTCGCAGCTGCCACCGCAGCAACAGCGGGAAGTCACGCCTCCCAGTTCGAAGACTGAGTTGCAAACCCATAGAATAAATGGTACTGAGCTCATAAATGAGGGTTCTCTTTTTAGCACATCTTCACACCTTTGAAGCCTGTGAGATTAGGACAGACACCGCAAGAGCGTGCTGGGTCCTTGGCTCCGTGGGTCTGCTGCCCCCAGGCATCGAGGGAGAAGTCGGCTCTGTCGGCGAGAAGCCTCGCACAGGCTTCTCTGTCCTCGCGCCGGGTTAGCGTTACAACTCTGCAGAAAGCTCCATTTCTTTCCTGCTGTCTCTTGATTTGCTATGTGTTTTCCTAGCAGGTTTGCCGCACATACCTGGTCTCTCCTTGATGACTTTGTACACATCCACGCGTCTTTAGAAAAGCCCTGTAATGTCCGTCTTCTGACAGACTCTGGCAGCTTGTCGAGCATGTGAATGGGCAGCGTTTTAATCATTATTTTTTTAAGTATGTAAGCAAAGTTTATCAGTGACACATTCTCATGGAGGAGAACAGGCCTAGCCGAGGGGCCTAAGAAAGAGGCACAGGCCCTCGGTCTCTTTGTCCTGAGGTTTTACAGGATTTGTGGGGCGGGGTGAGGGAATCACAGACTGATTGGCGGGAGAAGGTGGTTCAGACTCTTCCAAGGCAGGGTGTGACCACCTCTTGTTATCCTGTTAAATACATGGCCAGAGGCAGTTCATCAAAGTTATTTATGAGCTTTTTCTACAAGTACTATGGAACCCCCCCCTTCTCCTAAACTTCTTCCTAACATTCCCCCCCCCCCCAAGCATTAAGAACCCAAATCTCTGGGGACTTTGGGGCAACGACCCCTCTGGCTACTTCCTGCTGTGGAGGGACGTTGAGACTCCTTTGGGCTCCACCTGCTTGCTAACCACCAGTCAGGGCGGAGGGAAGTGTCCACCCGTGGGCCATGATAGGTTTCTGGAGCCTGGGGCCCCTGAGGTCAGTGGTAGTTCATGATGGTCGTTTGTAGCTGTAGAGCCTCTGTTTGTGCCCAAACTGTTGGAAAAGGGTGTAACCCATGCCGGTGAGGCTGTACCCGCTGCACCATTCTTGTTACACATGCCCTCCCTCCCAGCTTCGTAGATCCTCACTTTGGTGTTCCCAGACTTTCGCATTTAAAGCTTTCATTTGCCTTGACTGAAGCTGCCTCCCTCTTGATCTACAAGCAATCACCTTAAAAGCACCCGTATCGAGCTGAGTTCATCTTACTGGTGACTCGGCTTCCTCTGGCTAGTGCGTGTGCGTGTGTGTGTGTGTGCGCGCATGTGCACGTATATCCCCTTACAAAGAGGCTTAAACGCAGCTTCAGAGCAGGCTTTCGTTGATGCGTCCTTGGCCATCGCTGGGCCATCCACCGCCTCTGGCTGTGGGGGAGGCCGGAAGAGCCTCTGTGGAAGGCAGGGACGGGGGAGGAGGGGGCATGAAGACTAGGTGATCGGTCAGCCCACCAGTGGTGCCAGTGCACTCAGGTCTTCGCAATAAACGAACAGACTTCTCTCCGTTCCGTCTGGAAAGCTGCCCCAGAGGAGTGGGTGGAGTCTGAGATGAAACGAGGCCGGCCGTGTGTTGGTAACTTTGAAGCTGGGTGAGGAACACAAGTTATTTACACCATTCACTCTACTTTTATACACACTTAAATTGTCATCATAAACCGTTTTTTTAAAATGGCCCCAGAGAGGCAGAATTAAGCTGTGTGTAAGGAAAGGCTTGGAAGTGCTCTGGCCATCCGGGACGGAATGGATGGCCGCCCAGAGCCCCGCCCCGCACCCTGTAGGTCTGGCAGGGCCAGAATGTCTTGGAGGGAGCCCCGGTGTAGGCGAAGCCGCTCCCCACCTCCTCAGATCCAGTGCTTGTTTCTGTGTCGTCTCATCCCCCAGGCTTTGAAGCGCCTCCTCTGACCCTGAGTGTTCTCCAAACGAGTGGCTGTTTCTCGAAGGTGTAAGCTAGGCCCCGGGAGGTGTCGGCCTTCTCAGCCCTGCCCGACCAGCCGCAGCGGGCTGAGCGCCGTGGCTGCAGGACGGAGGGTCTGCCGCCCACCAGGGACCCAGACGGAGGACTGAAGTGTAAGAGAACCTCACCAGGAAGAGGGAGAGGTGGGCTGGAGGCAGGCGTGGTCCGGCCTTGGTCATCTGTCTGGGTTTCTGTCTGAGCTGTGCCCTTGGTGGGACCTACCTTCTCAGCCAGCATTGCCACCTGTCCAGACCTCTTCCTTCCTCACTCTCTAAGGACACAGTTGCCCCAGTGAGTGCCCGGCCTTTCTTGGTAAGCCCACTGAGGCCAGGCTGAGCAGTGGGGCTGACCAAAGTGTGTTCATCTGCAGTCAAGAATCACCTTTTTCATCAGAGCCTCATTTGAGCCATGGCAGATGCCACCTAGCCCACCGTTTTGAAGAACAAATGGATAATCTAGCTCTTCACATGCACATCTAGTGGAAACTAATCTGCCTAACTCCCAAAGGAAGTACTGTCCCTTTATCCCAGAGTCCGGAATTGTCACAGCACATGTTCTCAGGAAGTGGGAAGCGGAAAGGCTGAGTCAGTGCTCAGAGGCAGTTTGGCAGCCCTGGGCGGGCCGTGCGCCTGGCTCCCGTGGTGTGAGTGACTGCGGGAGGATGGCCGGGGACACTTCTCGCCGGTCTGTAGAGCCCAGGGAATCCCTGAGAGTTGGGTTTCCTGGCCTTGCTCTTGCCATCAATTGTGTCTTCCCCTTGTCCCGGGTGGGTGTGTCGGATTTCCAGGGCATCTGGTGCCTTCCCATTACCGAAAAAATTGCCCTACAACAGCGCAAGTTCAGAGAACAAAACAAGCTGCTCTTCATGTTCTGCTCACCTATTTCCCGAGGAACACGGCGCTCTAGTTGGGAACTCTGCATGAGGTCTCCAGGGGAGAAGGGGCCCCGTTAGGCACTGCATCTTGAGAGCCCTGATGAGGAGGGACTGGACTGAGAGCGCGCTGGCAGACAGCACAGTGCCCGAGTTCCTGAGACCCGTCCAGCTACAGGGGACCAGCTGATGGCCGCCCATCAGCTGAAGGCAGAAGGACAGGGAGAACCTCCCTAGAGAGGATGGCGTGATGGTGCTTCTGCTGCCCAGGCAGGGACCAGGTGGCAGGGCCCTCCAGGTGCTGTGCTGCCCCGTGGCATCAGCAGAACAGAGGGGGGTGTCGAGGGGCGGCGTGTGGCGTGTAGTTAGGTTGGCATGGTGTGGGGGGCGTGGTGTGGAGGGGCGGAAAGGACCTAGAACAGGCTCTTGAGTGCAGTCTGGCCCTCGGTTGCAGAACTGGAATTGCTCAGGTGTGTTGGGTAAGAGTCCATGGCTTTTTTTTTTAAGAGAGGAAACTTTTTTAAAAAGATTTTATTTATTTTTAGAGAAAGGTAAAGGTAAGAAGAAAGTGAAAGAAACATCAGTGTATGGTTGCCTCTCACACATCCCCAACTGGGGACTGGCCCGCAACCCAGGTACATGCCCTGCCTGGGAATCCAACTGGCAACCCTTTGGCCTGGCTGGTGTGGCTCAGTGGATTGAGCATGGGCCTGTGAACCAAAGGGTCATTGGTTTGATTCCCAGTCAGGGCACATGCCTGGGTTGCAGCAGGTCAGGTCC